ATGTATCATTTATTGTTGTATTGGTTTTTCAGTTGAATTATACGTACAGTTAAAAAGATACTGTTCAAATTATTATCTGTTTTTGTTTTAAAGTTCAATTAATGGATGTTTTCAAAGTCAATGAGTAATCGTATTTAATAATCGTGATATCAATTATTGACCAAAATAATCGTGATTAAGATTTTTTCCATAATCGAGCAGCCCCACTATGTTGCTTAAAACAACTTAAAACTATTCTTATTCTCATGTTAGTTAATGTACTTCTTTGTATTTATATTAACTTATTTTAACTTATTTATCTAACTGTTATTGCTATTTTATTGACATCAGCCTTAGTATTGTAATTTATAATAATATAGTAACTTATTTGTTGTGTTTTTACTTAATTCCCATAAAATATACCGACATGGTTTTATTTTGAAGCAACCTAACATCACATCCGGCTCTGTCTCTGCTCACTCTTGTTGTGTTTTCTGTAGCTCCGGGACGCTCTGTGGGTGTTGACATGTCAGTGTCACTTGGTCAGCTGATTGCGGGTCTTAAAGCTTCTTGGCTAGTACTGCTAGCCAGCTTAGTTAGCTTAGCCTAGCTGGATGTTTGTTTTTGGTAACGTTACGGATCTGTAGCGTTTAACGTAGCCCGGAAATTTAAAATAATCGGAATAATTTCACGTATTTTAAACTATTCTACAGTCGCTACCGGATCGTTTTGCGGCCTAAAGTTGCCGTGAGGGAGGCAGTAATTATTGTGGCAGGGAGGGAAGGGTGAAGTTGTTCTCCGTGTATCTGCATTGCAGCCCGGTGCTGCTGAGAATATTGATACTTCCAATACTGCAGGAGGGTATGGTCAAGCTANTTTGCTAGGTTGTGCAGTGCACTGCAACATATTTGATCTAATTTATTTTAGTCTAATTTATTTTTATTTATCATATTTGTATATGTTTAGTGGCTTGTTGAATTGCGCTCCAACAACAAGCCACTAAACATATACAAATATGATAAATAAAAATAAATTAGACTAAAATAAATTAGATCAAATATGTTGCAGTGCACTGCACAACCTAGCAAAGCAAAAATAATCGTTGTTTTCGATGATGTTGTTTTCGTAATTGACGCAGGCCAAAATCGTAAATGCGATTAAAATATGATTAATTGCACAGCCCTACAACATAGCATTACAATAAACGTTCAATAAAAGAAAATTCAACGTTTTGGCATCTGAGATAACTTAAATGCCATTTTATGTGTTGCCAAGTTTTTACTAAGCTGTGCTCTGGGAACAATTACAGAATTACAAGGAGCTTGACTTGGGGTAACTGTTTCATCCCTTCAAGATCATCAAAATGTGCTCGGTCATTTACCCAGAAAAAAACACCGAAGTGACAATTAGTTTAGGTGTTGAACAGCACCCCATACAAAAACTATTATCTAATTATTTATATTGATTAATTTACTCTTTTTGTAGTTTTTTCTAACTGATGATATTATTATCTGTAACTGTATGTGTGGGATAGCTGCTAAGCCTTTATGCATTGTGTAATAATAATGAATGCAAAAATCCTTAATTAACTTGAAAAATGTAATGTCAATAATTATTTTATTTTGTAAAGAAATAACGGAAGTTATATTTTTGCCTTAAAGGTAACTGACGTTACTGCGGTCTTGCAGAATGTGTGCTCGTTTTGTTGTACGGGACAGCCAGGGGCCAGGGCAACCAAACGTCCAATAATCAAGCCAACGTAGTTAGACCTGTGTCATGTGTGGGGTCTTTTTTTTCACATTGCTACATAGTTCCTGTAAGAGTACGTTTAAAAACAATATATCAAACAGGACTGTGCCCCTGGGTGTAATGTGTACAGTTATACAACCCTAAATGTAGAAAAACACTGAACATCCTCCTTAAATGATCGTCTGTCGGCTTATACAACGTGAAAAAGAGGGTGTTTCTTTGTGCATGACTCATTATGGAGATATAGATGCTAAATAATTTGGGAATTGGCGTGCATGTCCCAAAAAGTCAGTGCAAATGTCGTAGTAAATATCAAACAAAAATATCAATATTTTATCAGCTAGAAGGACTGAGTCATGGCGTTTGCTTGTTGCTATCTCTACGTCCCGCAGACCCGGGCGGGGAAGCGAAATGAAACAAACAACGATGGGGGAAGTTTGCAAAGAGAAGAACTCAGAGTCATGGCTTTCTGTCATTTGGCGAATCTGCAACCTTTTCATGTCTGTGTTCTTCGCTCTTGCAACATATGTTCAGGTAAGCTTTTAATTTCTAAATTATATGAATTCGATATGTTTTTTGTGGATCGCTCTAACAAATATGGTGTCTTGGCTTTAGATTAACGACCCAGACGCAGGGTTGTGGATGGTAAGATTACAACCATTTGCTACATTATTTTGTCTATTGAGATTGATGTGATTTTTGTATGTATATTTAACGTTTCTCTTGCAGGTTGGTTATGGCGTTCCCGCAGTCCTGTGTGCAAGCATTGGATTGAACCCCCATGTGACAGGTAGACAGAGTGTGTCGTTTTTCAGTATATGAATGATCATTTATTGCGTATTTAAACTTTGAACCCAGGTCATTTCTCAGAGTTTCCTTTCCTGAGTATTTCCCAGTCTTCCACACTTTGCAGGCTGTTGAACTTTGCTTTAATGCTTATTTTAAGGTGCATATAACGCCATCAAGTGGCTTCATCATGACTGTACAGCTCAGTAAAGTTCTACTTTAAAGACAGCACAACACATAACACCGCAAAGCTGACTGTTCATGTTTTTTTTTCCCTCTTTGCAGAAACGTTGCCATGGAGGCGTATTGCAGATCTCCATGTGATGATTTCCACTGCTGTGGTTGCCATATTGGGATGGAGACTTTGTAAAGAGCGAACCACAGATATCTTCCAGGAGGAGGAGGGCAGGTAGACGGTTTACTTAAATAGGTGTTGAGTCTGCAGCACTGTAGTGATCTGCATTTTGCAAGTCTTATTTCAATGAATTCCCCTGAAGCATTGGCCTTTTTAAAAAAAAAGATAATTACAAGCAACTAGAGTAAATGCTGAGTAAAAGGAAAAAAAACAATTTGACATTTAATATATTTTTTCTTTCTTTTAGAGAATTTTCTGGTCTCATGCTGACACTTGTTTGGCTTCTCCTTTGTCGCCACTCTGGAAGGTAACATTTGAATTATTTTCATTTTTGTAGGTGCTTTTTTGAATGTTTCCTCCTTCTTACCTATGGGTAAAATGTATGGGAACTTAGTGCATTTGGTTCCAGGACCAACTGTTCCTTAGGTGTGTACTGAACCAGGAACAGCTGCAAAGACTTGAATATTAAATCAATTATTTTGTTATCTTTTTATTCTGTGTGCTTAGGACATTGGAAATTGTTACATTTTTGTTTCTATTTCACAACAATTTGTAATGCTGCCTGTCTTGGCCAGGACTATACATTTTCTATGAAAATAAAGCTGGTTTTATATAGTTATTTAAACGGCTTTTGTTTTATTTACAGTATGTGTGTTTTCCTTTTCTGTCAGGTCTCCGGTGGGGATGTTCAGAGTCTCCACGGCAACTGCCATCACAGTGTTCCCCTTTGTGGCCTGGCTTTACTATTACATCAATACAGAGCTGAGAGCAAACTGGCCTTCACACTGTAAAACTGCTATTTAAACATCAACTACTGTTCCTTTTGTTATGTTCTCTGACTGAAAACCCTGGACCAACGATGCTGCTCAAGTTAACATTTTTTAGTAGCATTAAATACAAACATATGACAGTTGAGCTGTCATAAAGTATTTTTCATCAAAGTATTTTTCATCAAATGTTGACCTACTGTTTTTCTCTATAAAGTGCAATTGATTGTGGAATGTTCATTGTTTTTTCTGTCAATTGAAGTATAAATAATATGCAATAAAATAAAAAGTGAATCAAAGACAGTTATATTTCTTACTTTTCATCTGCATTTTCATTCCTATCTATCTTTGTTAATATACAATTCAGAGCCTGCTTTTTAGAACATTTTATTTTCAACAAACTGGAAAAAATGTATTGTTTCTTTAGGACAGTATTTTATAATGTATGGTCAAATGATGGTAGGCCTATATATATAATGATGGTCAAAATCCTCAAAATACTTAATAAAGGAATGCCTCATTTTGTACCTTTTCAGAAAACTTCTCATACAAAAAAGAATCATCTTAAAGTAAGTTAACAATTTGGGAAGATTCATGTTTACCCAGTATAAATATTTTAGTTAAAATGTTTAGCTTTTCCTGTAGTAGTTTCACCCTGCACTAAGACTATTCGGCCTATAGGAGGCAGCAGAGAGCACTACTAATAACAGCATGACAGAAGAAGATGTAAAAGACGTAATTTCCTGTTTAATAACGGCAGATCTCCGAACAGCCTTTTCCGTTTGTTGTCTTACACAGATATATGTAAGACTGACTCCAGAACAGCAGTTTTCCGCCTTGTATCATATCACGTTTTGTAAACTTACCGGCGCTTCCTCGTTACAAAAGTGGTACTGTCAAGGTCCAGACATGGCCATGAGTGTTTTATATCAAAGCCTGGGATGCCGGTTGTTTCACAGTAACGTTAAACTCTTAAGAACATGTACGCAGCAGACCCAGACCGTCAGACTTGCACACAATGTTTTCCAGAGAGAAACAGAGCTGTCACCGCGGAGACTTCACTGTTGCCTGGTAGGTCAAAGCTAGCTATCTAACACCAAACTCCATTTAGATATTCGGCAATTAAACGTACGCATCTTCTTTGATAGACTTCATAGTTAGAACACTCATTTATCAATTACTTTTAATACATTGTAGACTACCTACAGCCTGCAAGGTACATGTAACACTCATTTCTGTTGAACTATATTCTAAAAGCTTATTTTTCTTTCTCTGTGCGTCACTGTATTTATATGGCAAAACATGTTAATAATATTTGAAGAAACATGTCTTACTGCTGACAAAAACTAGCTGAGGTTATTTGGGGAGAAAAAAACCTCCTTAATTATTTAAAAAAAACCTGTTCAGTTACGACACCTGTCCCTATCATGGGGCACCACCTTAAGTTAGCAAATGTTTTTAATGGAGTTTGGCGTGACGCGTGATGCCTAATATTGTATAGCCATTGAGTGAAAGAGATTGTAACGTAAGAGTTTTATTTTCTGCTACTTCCTTTACTGAATATTTGTGTTATCTTTGATATGCTTTTGTATTTTTAATTGTAAAACTTAAACCTAACTGTTACCTGTGTATTTATTAACAGGTGAATGTGAGAGCAGCACAAAGGCTGTATCAACACCCAAGAACATTTTCCTCTTTACCTCCACCGCCTAAATCAGGGAAGAAAGAGAAGAAGTCTGGGGTAAGTGGAATGTCTTTGTATTCTTTCTTACACGTGTAAGACATGTACATTCAATTTCTTTAATGAGGAAAGAGAAGTATAACATTAAATGTAACTATATATATATATATATATATATATATATATGCAACATATCTTCAAATGTGGGATTTTCTCCTCTCAGGTAATATTTACAAGATCTGTTGCACTCAATTATTAATGCTGGACCAAATAACTTCTAAATATCATGGAACTATATTGATGGTATACAAAATCCATCCTAATTTGTTGAAAACTAGTGGACATGTTCAGTTTTATTCATTTGATTACCTTAGCGTTCAGCAATTCACATTTAAAAACTGTTGCAAATGTAGGTTAGTTGTAAAGCTCAAATGGAGACTATTCAACACGTTTTACAAAGTTTGGAAAATCTTAAAGACATTGTCAAATTAAATTCTGCTGTTTATAAAAGCCTTGGGAACCCTTTTTGGACAATTATACAATGTATTTAATTTGATTTAAAGAAACAGATTGATTACCTTGTTTTAGCATAAAAAAAAACAACTCTTAAAATATAAAAAACATGTTTTCTATGAATTATCTCCCCTTTTTAAAGCCTGTGACATGGAAATCTTTAGCAATAACGTTTGCTATTGGAGGCACTGTGCTTGGAGCAATGAAATATTTGAAGAAAGAAAAGGAAGAAAGTAAGTATTGTACAACTTTTAATATTCAGTGCAAACTAATGTGTGATACAAGTTAATACATAATTAGATTACATTCTGTACAAGCTCATATGTATTCAAGTGATAAAGCTGTTAACTAATAATGACCCATGTTCTGAATCAGTGATCGGTTGTACTTTGCAGTGATAGAAAAAGAGCGGACCAAGTCCATCGGGCGCCCGGCGCTGGGAGGTCCGTTCTCGCTCATCGATCACAACAACAAGCCCTCCAAGAGCGAGGACTTCCTGGGGCAGTGGGTCCTCCTCTATTTCGGGTTCACTCACTGCCCCGACATCTGTCCGGATGAGATAGAGAAAATGATCGAAGTGGTGGATGAAATAGGTAATAAAAACTTCTTTGATCAGGAATTAGATAGATGTACTTTATTGATTTGGGAAAATATTTAGTCACAGCAGTAATAGGAGGTTATAAAGGCATTGTACATGAATGAAAAATAAAATAAACATTGAATATTTACAAATCAACAGTATTTGTTGAGTTTTGTATGGAATTCACAGTATACAATATAAATAAACAAGTTTATAATACTCTATAATGCATCAAACTACTACTACTAAATAAAACAAAGGATACGTTATACATTATACAATGTGCAAAGTAGTTGGAGTATTTTTTAATACAATATAAACACATTTAATTGAGATTGAGTTTAAAAATAGCAAATTGTACAGGGTTATAGAAACACTTTGATATCCCAATTTCGTTTTTTTTTTTTTACACAGATAAAATAAAATCGATTCCAAATCTGACGCCGCTCCTCATCACCATCGATCCTGACCGGGACACACCAGAGGCCATGGCTGAATATGTGAAAGGTAAAAACAACTAATTTTTTGTTTCATATAAAGGGGCCCAAATTCAATCTCAAGACCTATGGACTTTTAGGTGCCTTGGCCACATCATTTGCAACGTTTTTATTCTATTTCACATACTTTGTTTTATTTATATTAGATTTATGACTCTCTGTTTAATAACTATGAATATCCTTTATACTGTCTCTAATTATATTTTATATATGGATGTTCCTTTATTTGTTTTTGTTTATGTATAACACACAATATGATTAAGAACATTTAATTTGCTGTTGGTATAAAAGTGATTAGAGAATAAGACATTTTTTTGACAAAAATAATAAACACATTATGTCAATACACAATATCCACAGATAAATACACACTATTTAGAAATACAAACTGTACTTTAACACATATCTGTGAGTTAAAATTGAAATTCATGACTTGCATTTTACTACTTTAACTCTGATGGATTAATTATTTATTTTTCAGAGTTTTCCCCAAAGCTGATTGGCCTGACGGGAACACTGCCTCAGATCGAGCAGGTTTCCAGAGCCTACAGAGTTTATTACAGTCAGGGACCAAAGGACGAAGACAACGACTACATTGTGAGTAATCACCTGCTCTATTGTCATGTTTCATAACAATGCACGGATATTTAAGGACAAAAAATAAACAATTTTGTCCATGAGGTCTGATTTCCTCCTCTTGCTGTCTTCAGGTCGATCACACCATCATCATGTACCTCGTGGGACCCGATGGGGAGTTTGTGGAGTATTTTGGACAAAACAAAAGAAATGTGGAGATCAGCAACTCCATAGCAGCATATATGAGGAAGTACAAAAAGGCAAAGTGAGCCGGAGCACCTAAAGCCCGCTGCGGACTGACAGATTCTGTCCTCAGGTGTTTGTTTGATTGAACTAATCAATACTGCCATCTTATATTGGCTTCCTGTATTTGTTTTAATGCTTTTCTAGAAATATAATTGGACTGCAGAACATCCCTTTAATGAGTGCTGTGCAGGAGAATGCATTTCATTAGGGATGTCACAATACTAGAAAGGATGTAGTCAATACCAATACATGTTAAATTGCGCTAAATTCAATACAACAGTAAAACACGGAAAATAATTATGCCTCACCATACACTCCTTTTATTAAATACTGATCATAATCTCCTTTCAAATATGGGTTTTATATTGCTGTTTCATATACGCACCATAGTACAACTTGTTCACCGAATGCTAATAGCTAATGCTAATGTTAACTTCCCATTTCATCAGATATATTGTTCACATTAAGACATTTCAGGAAAGAATAAGGATCTAGCCCATCCCAAAGATAAGATGCATCCAATACATTGAGTTTACTGTGTCCCAAAAATATGTTCGATTTCCTAGATAGCATTATTCCCGAGCACTGATGTTACCGTTTGTAAGAACAAAGAAACGTATTTTTTCTGGATTTGTTGCATTGACTTGTTACTGAGGGATCTGCTCTTGTGACATCCCTACATATCATAATGCTGCAGAAAGAAAAAAAGAGCTTTAAATGTCTTTACTGTTTGAAAAGAAAATCACTCATCAGCTCCACAAGCTTAATATCTCTGATTTCTGGTGCAAATAATGAGGAAATACCTGTAGATTATTGTTGTTTGATTTTGTGATAAAATCTGGAAAACTGCTTTGCATTGAATATTTGTTTTTATTCCACAGACAACAGACATCTAAATGTTTATGAGCAGGACTAACCAAAAGCTGGTTTGAGTTACTCTGGAGACCCCCTGTGGTCGTAAGGCAACTGTATCCATATTAGCACCTTTCAACATTTAAGGCAATTCAAAGTGCTTTACAAAAATATAAAACATTAAGAGCATAAAGGAATAGTGCAGCAGAATCACATTAGAAAATGACAATTAAAAACAGCAATTATAAAGAGAATAGAATAAAGCATAAAACAAGGGTAACGTATAACATACATGAAAACAGTTACATTACAGTGTATTATATGAATAGTTCAATTAAAAGCAGTGGCAACA